GAATGGAATAGAATATAGGAATAAGAACAGGAGAGAATAGAATAGAAATAGAATAGAATAGAGTAGAATAGAATATAGGAATTAGAATAAGAAATAGAATAGAATAAGGGATAGGACAGGATAGTTCGGTAGTTCGAATAATCACCAGACCCCAGGTTGACTCAGCCGTCCGTCCTTCCAAGGCGGGTAAACTGAGGACCCAGATGGTTGGGGGGGCAGAGGCTGACTCTGTAAACCCCCTTAGAGAGGGCTGTGAAAGCCCTGTGAACCAATATAGAAGTCTAAGTGCTATTCCTATTGCTAAGTGGGAAGGAAAGAAGGAAAGGGGAGGGGAGGGGAGGAGAGAGGAAAGAAGGAAAGGAAAGAAGAAGAAAGAAGGAAAGGAGAGGGGAGGAGAGGGGAAAGAAGGAAAGGAAAGAGGGAAGGAAAGGAGAGGGGAGGAAGGAAAGAAGGAGAGGAAAGGAGAGGAGTGGAAAGGAAAGAGTAAAGGAAAAGAAAGGAAAAAGGAAAGGAAAAAAAGGAAGGGAAAGGAAAAAGGACCATGCTGGTGCAGTGGTTAGAGTGTAGTATTGCCGGCTGACTGCTCACTGCCAGCAGTTTGATCCTGACCGGCTCCAGGTTGACTCAGACTTCCGTCCTTCGAGGGTCGATGAAACGAGGACCCCGATTTGTTGGGGGGGGCTGACTCTGTAAACCCCTTTTTAAGAGTTGGCTGCGAAGCGGGATATCAATGCAGGTGCTGTTGCTAAGTGCTATAAGTCTTGAATGAGGGGGCGCCATCTCAGGTTCCCCAGGGAGGGAGGGAGGGTCTCTTAACACACACACCCCCCACACACACACTTTCTCTTGGCATAGCTGGCTATTAGGTGGGGCTGGGAAGCCCAGTGGCTGACCCCAGGCGAGAAGCATAGGTGTGCGTGCGTGCGTGCGTGTGGGTGTGTCTCTTTCTCCGAGAGCCTCTTGCTTACCGGCCTCCTTCCTCTTCCTCGCAGCGAGGGCGAGAGCCGGCCGGTTGCGTGGCTGGCCAAGCAGGCCTCTCAGCGCTACTACCAGACCTGTGGCCTCCTGCCCCACCTGACCCTCCAGAAGGAGGGGGCCCTGCTGGCTCCGCAGGACAGCATCCTGGATGTCCTGCAAAGCAACGAGGAGGTGAGTGGCGGCCCCTGGGGGGAGGCGTGTAAAGGACTGGGGGTCCTCCCACAGGTTGTAAGGACGTAGCAGGGGGCTAGCGGGGGGTCAGGATTCCGTCAGTCCCCCCCCCCATTTAAATCCTGAGTCTTGAGCCAAACTTCAAATGGATTTATTAGTAGTAAACATGTCCGGCATTGCCTGGGTGTAGCTGGCTCTTGACACCCAGCGTTCATTGTCACCCTTGACCGTGGTTTTCCCCCTGGGGGTCTATCCTCATTCCTATCCTCCAATGGGACACCTCCGTAGCCCAGAGTCGTCCATCATGCTCTCCAGTTCGAAGTTTGCCAAGGCAGAAACTTCGGTCACCTAGTGGACTATCTTTGAAATCATGTATGGAATGCGCGTTCGGTTTGCAAACGGCCGCACTGCTCCCCCACCCTCCCTTTCTGTTGGCAACTCTCAAAAGACCAGAGAAATATTTTTATGAGTTGACACCAGTTGACGCAACGTGGCGGCAGAGGTTCAGGGCTTCTGAACGGGGGGGGGGGGGGGGGGGGCCCCGGGGGACCCAGCTCCTGGGGGGGGGGCTGTTCCTTCCCCTTCCAAGCCAGCTGACCCACCGCTCTCCTTGTCTGTCTCAGGTCTTGGCTGAAGTCCAGTCCTGGGACCTGCCGCCCCTCCTGGAGCGATACCGCAAGGCCTGCCGGACCCTGGCGGTGGGTAAGCAGCCAGCCTACCCCTGCACGGGCGCTCCCTCTTCCTCCTCCTCCTCACCATCCTCTTTTAACTACCCCATAATCCCTTGCATTGGGGCGGAGTCTGGGAAGCTGAACCGGAGCGGAGTGTTTTACTGGCTGGATGCCCTTCCTGTTACCAGGGCGGAGTTTTGTTCAGCCGACATATTCTCACTGTGCCCAGAGAGAGAAATATCTGCCTCTAACTAGGGTCGAACTCACAGCCTCCAGATTGTGAGGCCAGAGCTCCGACCTCTAGGCCAACGCACCACTCCACATGGCGTGCTCTCTTGATATATTTATTCCTGCCAGGAGCATCCTTATGAAAACTAGGCTGTATATAACAAAATGAAATTCAGTGTAGACAAAAGGAAAGTCCTACACTTAGGCAAGAAAAACCCAAAGGACACATACAGACCGGGTGAAACCAGGCTCAATAGCAGGAACTGGGAGGGGGATCTTGGAGTCTTAGTGGACAACCAGCTAAATAGGAGCCAGCCGTGTGCAGCAGCAGCAGCCAAAAAAGCGAATGCAATCCTAATTTGCATTAACAGAGGGATACAATCGAGATCAAGGGAGGTATTAATACCACTCTATAAAGCCTTAGTAAGGCCACACCTGGAGTCCTGCATCCAGTTTTGGTCACCACGCTATAGCAAAGAGGTTGAGACTCTAGAAAAAGTGCAGAGAAGAGCAACCAGGATGATGAGGGGACTGGAGGCTAAAACATACGATGGACGGTTGCAGGAACTGGGCCTGGCTAGTCTAGGGAAGAGAAGGACCAGGGGAGACAGGAGAGCATCTTCCAATATTTGAGGGGCTGCCACAGGGAGGAGGAGGAAGGGGTCAAGCTCTTCTCCAAGGCCCCCGAAGGCCAGACAAGGAATAACGGCTGGAAACTGAACAAGGAGAGATTCAAACTGGAAATAAGGAGAAACTTTCTGACCGTGAGAACAAGCAACCCATGGAACAGAAGTTGCCTTCGGAAGTTGTGGGAGCTTCATCCCTGGAGGCTTTCCAGAAGAGATTGGACTGCCACCTGTTACAAATGGTGCAGGGTCTCCTGCTTGGGCAGGGGGTTGGACTAGATGACCTACAGGGTCCCTTCCAACTCTGATTATCTGTTATCTGTTAAAACCTTTTGCGCAGCTGTGAGTACAAACCTAGGAACACAACATTTTTAAGAGCCTAGTTTCAGCGGCGGATGCCCCGAAGGATGGTGCGGCCATGTTTGAACAGCCACAAAGCGGATGGTTTTAAGTCAAGGACTCCCTGCACGGAGTGCAAACCTAGCGTTGATTTCCTCACCTCTAACTAGGGCTTATCTCGTGTTCCTTCTGGGGTCCAGGGTTAAGCCAAGTGACCCTTCTAGTCTAGAGAAAATGGGCCCACAGACCAGCTGTGAGCGCATTCTGCTCGGATGGACCTTGTCGAAGGCTTGTGTCGGAAGTCAGTGCCTCGGCGGCTCTCGGAGCGCAGTTGTTTTCTCGCAGGCATTTCATGACCGAACTAGGTAACCTCATCAGTGCTGGAAGGTTTGTGTTGGGAGGCTTCCAAGCACTGGGATCTAGTTTGGTAGTGAAACATTTGCAAGAAAACAGCCAAGTTCAGAGAGCACCAAAGGATCCTACAGTCGCCTCCTCCTCCTCTTCTTCTCCTCTTCCTCCACAACCCTCCCTCCCTTCTAGCCCTGATGATGTTCCCTAGTTGGCTCACGAAACGTCTGCATGAAAGCCACCCCGCTTAGAGAGTACCAGGGGCTCCTCCGTCCAACCTTGAGCTGCAAATGTTCTCCTTTATCGGTACTACCCAAAGGAGCCTTTTGCAAGACCCACCGCAAAGCCTCCGCCACACTTCCAAACCCCTCCCCCTGTTCCGTGAAACTCCTCCACGATCAGACCATGGCCTGGTTTGCAAGCCACTCTGAGCTGTAGTTTAATTAAGAGGAATGGAATGGAATGGAATAGAATAGAGAATAGAATAGAGAATAGAATAAATAGAATAGATTATGGAATATAGAATAAATAATAGAATAGAATATGGAATATAGAATAAATAATAGGATAGAATATGGAATATAGAATAGAATATGGAATATAGAATAGAACAGAATAGAATAGAGAATAGAATGGAATGGAATAGAACAGAACAGAACAGAACAGAACAGAATAGAATATGGAATATAGAATAAATAATAGAATAGAATATGGAATATAGAATAGAATAGAATAGGAGTATGGAATATAGAATAAATAATAGAATAGAATATGGAATATAGAATAGAATAGAGAATGGAATAGAATAGAATATGGAATATAGAATAAATAATAGAATAGAATATGGAATATAGAATAGGAGTATGGAATATAGAATAAATAATAGAATAGAATATGGAATATAGAATAGAATAGAGAATAGAATAGAGTATGGAATATAGAATAAATAATAGAATAGAATATGGAATATAGAATAGAACAGAATAGAATAGAATAGAATAGAGAATAGAATAGAGTATGGAATATAGAATAAATAATAGAATAGAATATGAAATATAGAATATAACAGAATACAGAATAGAATAGGAATAGGAATAGAAAATATGGAATGGAACAGAGTAGAGTAGAACTAAACTCAATACAAGAGAACAGAACAAAACAGGATAGGATAGGATAGATTGGAATGGAATGGAATTCAACGGAATTTTATTGGCCAACTGGGAGTGGACCCACAAGGAATCTGCCTTGGTGCAGAGGCTCCCCATGTCCCTCAAAAGAAAAGATACCTCCGTCAACCTCCCAATGAACCCCAGCGGGGGCTCCTCCTCCCCGCCAGCGTCCCCTCTAACCGGGGCCCTTTCCTCCCCCCCTCTGGCCTGCAGGAGAACTCCCGCTGCTGGGGAAGCTCTTGGAGCGCCAGGCGTCGTCCTCGTCCTTCAGCGCCTCCGGCACAGCCCTGGGCCAGCGCCAGCTGCTCCCTCTCCTGCGGGCCCTCAAACTGCAGGCTTCCCTCCGCCAGCTGTGCCTCTCTGGGACCGGGCTGGGGGACGACTCGGCCGAGGAGCTCCAGGCCACGCTGGGCACCATCCCTGGGCTGAAGGGCCTGGATCTCTCGGCCAATCGGCTGGGCCCCGACGGGCTGCAGAAGTTGGTTGTGGGCCTCCCCGGCTCCTTGGCCTTCCAGGTAGGAGGGGAGTGACGGGCGGGGAGCAAAGCGGAGCCTGCATTTCGTTTAATGCTTTCCGTTCCTCAACAGTCAGCTGGACTAGCTCAGGGGTCGCCAACCTCTTGGACCTCAGGGACCCCCAAACTCATCCTTTTAAATCCCAGAGACCCTGGGAAAATCCCCCCAAAAAAGTCTGCAGGAAAATCCCCCGCCCTGTTTTCGTACCGATCGATCGTTCTTTATTTGGGATTGCAGGATATCACCTCCAGCTCCGTTCTCAGTGAGAGAGAGAGAGACTTTTGGCTCCGTGCAAGGAAAACAGCAGAAGCCGCAGAAGTCTTTCTTTCTCTCCCCAAAACTCTGCCATAAATGAATCTTTGTGAGACTTCTCATGCATGCGCAGCCTCTCGGAGCAGGAGGCCTTGCAGGGTCCCCAAGACTCATTTCTGGAGGAGTTTGGGGGAGAGAAAGAAAGACTTTGGCTGCTTTCCTTGCGTGCAGCCAAAAGCAGAAGAAGGAAGAAGCGGAAAGAAGCAGGCCAGGCGTGTGGGGCGAGTTTCCCCCCTCCGCCCTTTTCCCTTCCCCATACTACCCCGTGTAGTTTGCAATGCAAGCGACGCAAGCCTTGTGTTCCCGCGGGCCATGTGGACGGTGCAGCCTTGTGTTCCTGCGCAGCCTGGATTCATTGTTTTTTTTGTGGGGGGGACATTTCTCTGGGGCCCAGCGACATTTTCTCACGGACCAACAATGGTCCCCGGCCCACCGGTTGGCGACCCCTTGGGCTCAGCGCTAAGGAGGGAAGGAAGGGAATCAAGGAAAAGGGAAGTTGAAGGAAAAGGTCCCTGGAGATTATCCACCCTCCGGATTGTCCCAAAGGTGTTCTTTTTTTCTCCCCAAAAAAAGCAACTGGATTTCCTTGGGTTTTGCCTTGAAGGCGTTTTGCTTCTCCTCCAGGAAGACGTAGAACTGGACCGAACTGGAGAACCGCAGAAGGTTCCTGGGTCAGAAGCCAGATGAACAAGAGAGTCCAGTTGCCTTTTGGGAAAAGCAACACTGGGGAGTCAGTGCCCTGTTTCCTTCTCGCCTTTGAGAAGATGGATGAATGAGGAGGGAGGAGAGGGAGGGAGAAAAGGCGTGGGGAAGAGGGGAAGGAAGGAAGGAAGAGAAGGGAAGGGAGGAAAGGAAAGGGAGGAAGGAAGGGATGGGAGGAAGGAAGGAAGGGAAGGAAGAAAGGGAAGGGAGGAAGGAAGGAAAGGAAGGGAGGAAGGAAGGAAAGGAAGGGAGGAAGGAAAGGAAGGAAGGAAAGAAAGGGAAGGGAGGAAGGAAGGAAGGAAGGAAGGAAGGGAAGGGAAGGCAGGAAGGAAGGGAGGGGAGGAAGGAAGGAAAGGGAGGAAAGAAAAGGAAGGAAGGGAAGGGAGGAAGGAAGGAGGGAAGGGAGGAAGACAAGGGAGGAAGGAAAGGAAGGAAGAGAAGGGAGGAAGGAAGGGAAGGGAAGGGAGGGAGGGAGGGAGAAAGGAAGACACCACTGATGATAATGAAACGCCTGCAAGAAAACAACCAAGCTCAGAGAGCACCAAAGACCAGGAAGGGAGGGACAGAGGGACATCACTGATGATGTTACCTAGTTGGGTCATGAAACGCCTGCAAGGCCTCGGAGAGAACCCGGGACTCCCGGCCTTCAAAAGATCCCATCGGCGGTGATTTGGGGGCCTCCACCTTTCCCGACCCCTCCGGTTCCTTGTGCTCGGCTGCCCCTTCACCCGCTTTTCCCTCGTCCCCCCCCAGAACTTGGAAGAGCTGGACCTGAGCTTGAACCCCTTGGGGGACGGCAGCGCCCCATCTCTGGCCTCGCTGCTCCAGGCTTGCCCCGTCTTGGGCAGCCTCCGATTGCAAGCCTGCCGCCTTGGCGCCACTTTCCCGGAGCCTCACTCTCTGCTGCTGGGCAGGGCCTTGAAAGGTAGGAAGAAGGGGGGTCAGGTGGGGGGGTGGGGGGGTTCAGGGACCCTTCTGGCTGCCCAAAGACAAGGCAGGGGGAGAAAGCGAGGCCTTCCGGGGGTGTCAACCAGGCCACTTTGGCCTCCAACCTTGGCCACTTAAGACTTGCGGACTTCAACTCCCAGAATTCCCCAGCCAGCTTTGCTCTAATGCAGGGGGGTCTCGTACCTCGGCCATTTTAAGCCCCGGGGGGGATTCTGGGAGTTGAAGTTCTACAGGCTTAAAAGTAGCCAAGGTAGCCAAACCCCTGATTTAGACTTAAAAGCAGAAAGATTTCTGTTTAGGGATACTGCCCCCCCAAAAAACGGGGGGGATAAAAGAGAACCTACACTTAACATGACATGTTTTCGACAGCCGCGAGGATCACATTTGCACAACCCTGGAAAAACGAGGCAACTCCCACAGATGTAAATATAATTTAAAAAAAAAATAATTGGATTGTGTGAAAATGGATGGGTGAACATTGAAGGCAAAGGACAAAAAGAGACATAATAGTTTTTAACTTGGGATTTGTTTTATCAATGGCTAGATAAAAAAGGTAGAAATTAGAAGTTGGAAGAATACCATTATATCCAAGTAAAGAAGATTATTATTACTATTATCTTCTATCTATGTAAAAGCGAAATTACCCCTCACGCATCATCACAAAATCTCCAGAACCCGTAAAGCCTGCAAACTTGAAGTCTGGCCGGTATTTTCCTCTTGGCTTCTAGGGGCTCACTAGGAAAGGATTTTTCACAATGACCACCAGAGCATTCAGAGTATTTCCTATATTATTATTATTAACACGCTCTGATGCTAAGGAGTTCTACTCCCCCTCCCCACTTGAAAAAAAAATCTCTTCTAAATGCAAAACCCGAGCAGAGGAGAAGAGATTCGGTTTCAGTTTCACAGCCCCTAGCAGCTTTAGTATAGAACAGTTGAGCTAAGCCACGCCCAGGCTCCTTGCTGCCTCCTCCTTGCTCACACAGCAAATACTCTTTCAGTTTCCAAACAGCCCTCCATTCTCACGCACTGTCAGGACACTAGCCGGATGAACACCGACGGATGCTGGTAGACAGAGGAAGAATTTTTTCCCCCCGTTATTTTCCTCCCTACAAAAACTAAGCCTGACCACATATTTTACCACACGAGTATCCAGCGAGTTATGTCTATGTGAATGCACTCAGACAATACACTCTTTATTAAGCACTCCTATATGTTAAAGAAAAATGGATAAATAAAAAAAGAAACAACAATTCCAGGAGTTTTGCTTGAGGGGTCAGGGGACAACGAGCCCCTCCTGAAGCTAAAAAAAATCTAGCAATGGTGCGGCCCCTCGCTACTCCACTCTCCTCCCTTCTCCTCCCTCACGTTCTCCCCCTCAAACATCTGGAGATGTTCCCCAAGGCTGTGCAGTGGCCCAGAGGGAGAGCCTCTCGCCTCACCGTTGGGAGGCTGTGAGTTCGATCCTGGGTAGAGGCTGGTATTTGGACTAGACCTGGGATGGCGAACCTGCGGCAGGCGTGCCAGAAACGGCACGCCGAGCCATCTCTCCGGACACGACAGCTTGTCGCCTGTTGGCTCTTCCAAGGTCCGGCACGCTCCTGCATGCCAGCCAGCCGGTCTTCGCACACGCACGTGGGCGCCAGCAACCGGAGCCGCTCTTCCCAGTTGGCTGGTGCTCCCCCGCGCACACCTGCCTTCGCATTTCGGCACTCGGTGCCCAAAAGGTTTCGCCCACACTGGGATAGACTCTCCTGCTTATGCGAGGGGTGGGGCTGGACTAGATGGCCTCCCAAGCCCGCCCTCCTTCCCAACTCTTTGTTATCCCTACGTTTCCCCCTCGCAGGAGCTGTGCACCTCAAGAGGCTCAGTCTGTCCCACAATGCCCTGAGCTCCCGGGGGCTCGGGGTGGTGCTGGAAAGCCTGCCCTTCGAATCGCTGACCCATCTGGAGGTGGGCTCCCTGGAACCCAGGCCGGGGGACCGGCCACAGCTGAGGGACACCCTGGTCAGATACCTGAGGCAGGTGGGTGGTCTCCGATGGCCAAGATGGGGCGGGGGGGTGTGGCCGGGGGCGGGGGGGGGGGGGGGGGAGAAGATCAAAGGCACGGGGACCCTCCCTCTCAGACTCCAATTCTGCCCCTTGGTGCTTCTCGGGACAGGAAGGCTGCGCCTTGACCCACCTGGGACTCTCTGGGAATCACCTGGACGACCAGGAGGTATCCGAGCTAGCCAGGTAAGGAGGCGGCGTCTAGAGAAAGCAGCCCTGGTCTCCTTGGCTTGGAGGCCTTGGGTGGGGTCACAGGGACCCTCTCCCCCCCCGAGGATGTCCGGAGGACAGCTGGACTCCTGGCCGGTTCTGTTGGTCCTCCTCGTGGCCATCCAGCAGGGGATGATGGACTCTGCGCTGTTGGGCCTCTGAAAATTGGGGTCGGGGGGCAAAAAGGGCTCCCCAATGGATGGAAACTCATCAGGGAGAGAAGCGAGCTGGAATTAAGGAGGGAGGAGCTTCCTGACAGTGAGGAGAATGAACCAGGGGAACGACCTGCCACTAGAAGTTCTGGGGTGCTCCATCATCACTGGAGGTTTCTAAGAAGAGCCTGGACAGTCACTTGGCTGAAATGGTGTAGGGTCCCCTGCTTGAGCAGCGGGCTGGACTAGATGACCTCCCAGGTCCCTTCCAGCTTCTGTTCTGTTCTATACTATTCCAATATTTACTCCATTCCATTCTGTTCTATATTCTACTCTCTATTCTATTCTCTTTTCTATTCTATCCTATTTTATATTCTATTCTGTTCTATTTTCTATTCCATTCTATTTTATTTTATATTCTATTGTTCATTCCATTATTCTATTCTCTATTCTATTCTATTCTCTATTCTATTCTCTATTCTATTCTATTCACTATTCTATTCTATTCTCTATTCTATTCTATTCTCTATTCTATTCTCTATTCTATTCTATTCTCTATTCTATTCTATTCTCTATTCTAATCTATTCTATTTTCTGTTCTATTTCTATTCTATTCTATTTCTATTCTATTTTCTATTCTATTCTATTTTCTGTTCTATATTCTATTGTGTTTTCTATTGTATTCTTCATTCCATTACTCTATCCTATTCTTTTTCTATTCTTCTATTTCTATTCTCTATTCTCTATTCTATTTTCTATTCTATTCTATTCTATTCTATTCTATTCTATTCTATTCTATTCTATCCTATCCTATCCTATCCTATCCTATCCTATCCTATTCTATTCTCTATTCTATTGTGTTTTCTATTGCGTTTTCTATTCTGTTCTTCATTCCATTCCATTACTCTATCCTATTCTTTTCTATTTTCTATTCTATTTCTATTCTTCTATTCTATTCTATATTAATTTCCTACTTCTATTATTTCTATTTCTACTCTATTCTCAGCAGCTGGAACCCAAAGCAAGCAAGTCCTCCTAGGTGGGAGGAGTGGGGTCTCCCAGTTGTGGGTGGAGGTTGGTGGAATTGTGGGTTCGGGGAGCTCTGCAGACAACCCCCCCTCCCCCCGCGCCAGGCCCTTGTCTGGAATGGTATATAGGGGAGTGTTTAGCAGGCTGGGGAATTCTGGGAATTGAAGCCCACCCAGTTGGGAAACCCAGGTATAGGATTTCCTTCCTGAGCAGGCGGTTGGACTAGAAGACCTCCGAAGTCCCTTCCAATTCAGGGCTTCTGTTACTCACATCCACCACTCAAGAGGTTGTTACTCTCCACAGGAGCCTCCTCGCTTGCCCGTCCTTAGCCTCGCTGGACCTGTCCGCAAACCCGGCCATCAGCATCCTCGGTCTCCGGACGCTGTTGGTCACCCTGGAGGAGCGGAAGCGGGGACTCCAGTCCCTTAACCTGGCCGGTGAGCTCCTTGCCGGGGTTTTCTGCAGCCGCTTGTCCCCTGAACCAGGGCGTGACTTTTGCTCTGGAGTTTAGTGCATGTCATATGATGGGTAACTCCGGCCTCTATCTACTCTGAGGGGGGTCCTTGGTGCTGTCTGAACTGGGTTGTTTTCTTGCAGATGTTTCATTACTGGTCAGAGTGTCTACAGCGTGACTATGATTGTGAGAGCCGCCAGCAAGGGTGGGATCCGACAGGGTTAACTACCAGCTAGGTCATTTACGAGGTTCGGTGATTTACGATGCGCTTCCCTGCGCCTGTAAATCGTCATCAGCACGCTGCGTGCAGAGAAGCCGCCTTTCAAAAAGGCCTTTTTTCCTGCTTTTTTAAATTGCAGCTGGGCCTCGCACGGCAGCTGAAGTTGAAAAAAAATCCCGAAATAAAGGTCAGGTAGAAGCCCGGGTGGGCAAAACATCAGCGGACATAGAACCCGCGTAAGATTGGAAGTATCTAGGCAACGTTTCGATGAAGTCTCATTCATCATCTTCAGGCTTCTGTCTTCGGCTCTGTGCTTCTCAGAGTGATGTGAGATTGCAGCTGCTTCTTTTAACTGCTAGTGGGAGCACAACCAAGCCCCCACCTGAACAGAACACGCCTCCAGCCAATCAGAACACGGCCAACCCCCCAACCAATCAGAACACAGTCAAACCCCCTACCAATGAGAACACACCCCCACCCAATCAGAAAACAGCCAAGCCCCCACCCAATCAAGTCCCACCCCCACTAGCAGTTAAAAGGAAGAAGCAGCTGCAATCTCACATCACTCTGAGAAGCACAGAGCAGAAGACACAAGCCTGAAGATGATGAATGAGACTTCATCGAAACGTTGCCTAGATACTTCGAATCTTACGCGGGAGAAAACCCGAACAACCAAAGATCCATATATATATGTATACACACACACACACACACATACATACATACATACTTATGACAAGTTGCTCAGAGTCACTCAATAGTGAGATAGGTGATAACTTAATACAGATACATAAATTGAACCCCCCTGGCTGCCTAATGGGGAGAGACTGGAAGTTCCCAGGTGATGCCACTAACAGGCTGCCTCTTCCCCCCCACCCCATCCTCCATTTTCCCTAGGCTGTGCTATCCGTGGCCCCTTGGAGACCGCCACGTGGACGAAGCTCTCCTCCCTGGTGGGTCAGCTGCAACTCTGCAGCCGGTTGCTAAGCAGGAGCGACCAGCGGGACGTGGCCCAGCTCTGGCGCACCCCGGCCAACGCCTCCCTTCAGTCCGTCACCCGCCACCACAAACTCTTCTGCCAGAGCCTGTAGCCCCCGAAGAGGATGGGAGGACCGAGGGGGGGGGTCCGGGAGACCCCGGCTGCCTTGCCACTCGACACCATCCCGCCACGGAGGGATCCCGGTGGCAAAGAATGGGAATAGCGCAGCCGACGCGAGAGGAGATCCCCACCAGTCGAAGACGGGCTGTGCGGGGCCGCCAATCCAAGACTCGTACCGTGGAGAATTTTTGTGCCTGCGGAGAGGATTTGGGGGGGGGAACAAAAGCCCCCTCACACACCCCCCCCGTGGACGAAGCTGCTCTTTTTAACTAACCACTCTCATCGTTCTGACCTCCTGCGATGAACTGTCCCGTATTTATTGAATGCCACTGTGTCTCTGGCATGGGCTGTAAGTAGCGCCGGGGTGGGCTGGAGGCCCCCCTTTTAACCTGGGGATGGGGGGGAGGAGGAAGGTAAAACGATATTTGCAACCTTGAGAAGAGGAAGAGGGATAGTAAACAACCTCTTGAATAAATTCGGTATCGTCATCCTCTTCAAAGGACCCCATAATCCGTTGCATTGGGGTGGAGTCTGGCAACTGAATGGAGCGGAGTGTTTTACTGGCCGAATGCCCTTCTTATCGCCAGTGTGGAGTTTTATACTTGGCAGATAATATTCCCACGGTGTCCGCAGAGAGAAATATCTAGCCTCTACCTGGGAATCAAGCTCACAGCCTCCCGATGGCGAGGCCAGAGCTCCAACCTCTGGGCCGCCGCTTGGAATAAATCGGATATATGCCCGTTTTTAATTGTAGAAAGGTTTTTATTTGCTTCAGACCCACAAAATGTTTGCCTCTCCGAGGCGAAAGCAAAACCCAAATAAATACACATAACCCACCCCCACCCCACCCCAAATCTACTACTGCTCCCCAATTCCAGGCTGCAAAAGGAGGGGCTGGTCCAATGCCGCCCACCCCGTAGTGAAAATACCTGCAACGTGACCCACGCAACGAGAGGGCTTCTCTCTCTCTCTCCAATGGAAGGGAAACGCGAGCCTTTGCGGTCGACTCTTCCCCACCCCCAGCGGCCTTTGGAACCCGGGTGCAAACGCGTGGCGGAGCCCCCCCCCCCACTCGCCCCCCCCAGGGGCGCCGCCCTGTTGCATTTCCCCCTCTGGAGGGACGGGCACCCCGGGGGCTCTCGGCCGCGCTTGGCGGCCTCACGAGTGTAGGAAGCGGTTGAAGGCGTTGTAGGCCGACTCCAAGTCGAAGAGCATCTGGCGCACCTGGGAATCGTCCAGCTCGTCCGAAGCCGACATGCCACTCAGGGTCTGCAGCCTGGAGGGAAGCGGATCTTGGTCACAAGAGGGGGACCCCTCCCCCCTGCTCGGCCCACCCCAGGAGGGGGAAGGAAACGAATCCCATTAATGCCAGGCGATCCAACAGCCCGGGAAAGGGCTGCTCCTACCAAGACCGGCAGGGTGAGAGACGGGCGTATCAACGAGAGAGCGAATCCCACTCCTTCCTAGCGCTGATGTCGTTACCTAGCTGGGTCATGAAAGGTCTGCCCAAAAGACAAGAGGCTGGGAGAGCACCAAGCACCCCCCAGTCATCACCTTCTCCATTCGGCCACCCCGCTCCCTCCTAGCCCTGATGAGGCTACCTAGTCGGGTCGTGAAAGGTCTGCAAGGAAACCACCACGCCGGAAGAGGCCCCGAGAGCCCCCCCAGTCCTCGATCTCCTTTCCCTCCTGCCTAGCACGGAGGAGGCTACCTAGCTGGGTCATGAAACGTCTGCAAGGAAACCACCAGGCTCAAGAGAGCACCGAGGACCCCACAGTTGTTGTCACCTACTTTCTCTTCCTCTTCCTCCTCCCTGTAAACCCAACTGATGCTGTTCCCTAGTTGGGTCGTGAAACGTCTGCAAGGAAAGCACCACGCTGGAAGAGCACTGAGGGGCCCCACAGGGAGAAAAGAATTGGCTTTCCTTTCTGCACGCACGCACACACACACACACACACACCCCGGGCTGTGGCCAGTCCCCCCACCAATCTGTCCCCACCAACGGGACACAAGGGCAGAAGCTGGCAAGGGTCTCCTTGGCACGAGCCTTTCTACCACCCCACCCCCCGGAAGAGGAGCTCACCATTGGCTCACTTTCTGCCTCCCCTCGAAGTCGGGGGGCAAATGGCTCATGCGGTTCATGGTTTCCATCAACTCCCGAAGGTCTGGCTGGATCTGGAGGGGCAGAAGAAAAGAGGGCGGCGGTTTCCCCCGGCTCGGTTTCCGGGTTATTTCTGGGGAGGGAGGGAGGGAGGGAGGAGAAGAAAAATGGGAGGGAAATGATGGGCGAGAGGAAGGAAGTGGAGGGAAAGGAAAAAGGGGAGAGGAAGGAAGGAGGGAGGGAGGGGAGAGGAAGACGGTGGGTATGGGGGGGGAGGAGTGGGAAGAGAGGGAGGGAGGAGGGAGAGGAAAAGGGAGGGAGGGGGAAAGGAAGGGAGAAGGAAGGAGAGGGCAAGAGGAAAAGGGAGGGAGGGGAGAGGATGATGGATAGGGGAGGGAGGAATGGGAAGAGAAAGGGAGGGAGGAGGGAGAGGAAAAGGAGGGGAGGGGGAAAGGAAGGAAGGTGATATGGGAGGGGGTATGGAAAGGGAGGGAGGGTGGGGGAAACAAGGAAGGGAGAAGGAAGGAAAGGGGAGGGGAAGAGGGAGGGGGGGGGGAGGAAGGGGAAGAGAAAGGGAGGAAGGAGGGAGAGGGAAAGGAAAAAAGGAGAGGAAGGAAGGAGGGAGGGAGGAGAGGATGGATATGGGAAGAGAGAAAGGGAGGGAGGAGGGAGAAGAAAAGGAAAAAAGGAGAGAAAGGGAGGGTGAGAGGGAGGGGAGGGCAAGAGGAAAAGGGAGGGAGGGTGGGGGAAACAAGGAAGGGAGAAGGAAGGAAAGGAGAGAGGGCAAGAGGAAAAGAGGAAGGGGAGGAAGATGATGGATATGGTGGGAGGAGTGAGAAGAGAGAAAGGGAGGGTGAGGGAGAGGAAAAGGAAACTACAAAGAGAAAG